CTCGCCACTGCAAGAGTAGGCTAAGACGAAGCCAGGACGAGGATAAAACAAGGGGAGGATAAATCGAGATTCTCTGAGATCCCGCGGCTCTGCAGGATGTCTCGGGCGTCGCGGCCTTCTCAGAGCGTTCAGGAACGCTCTGAGGGCGTTCCAGAACGCTCTGGAGACGATTTATCCTCATCCTAGCCCCGTCCAGCAGCTCCTTCCTCCCGTATTCCTCATCCTTCTCCCATCCGTCGTGTTCCTCCCTCCATCTCCGCACTCCGGCCGGCAAGATCCCTCAGCACGACCCTCGAGGAGGGAAGGGATGTCACAATCCCTCGGCAACGCTCCCCTCGAGGAGGAAAAAGGGAAGAGGGGGTACGACTGACCTCAATACTTTTGCAGGCAATTCGGAACACATTGCTTCGAAGCAACGGCCACCCACCAAGAGCACCACCACGCCAGACCCCGCTGTGATGCGGAATACTATACACCCTGGCAGCAAACTATTGCACGACGAGAACACGTCCCCACCCCGTACGTGCTCCTTGTGCCACGCCCTCCTGCTCATCTTCCGTCTCCCTCCTCCTCCTTTTCCTCCTTTTCCTCCTCCTCCTCCTCCTCCTCGACGGATCCCTCCCAGGCTGCGTACTCCTCCTCCTCCTCCTCCTCCTCCTCCTCCTCCTCCTCCTCCTCCTCCTCCTCCTCTTCTTCTTCTCCTCCCTCTCCTCGCCGATCCCTTTTCCTAAGAAATCCGGACCAGGGTCGGCCCGGGCCAGCCTGGGGCCCGCCGCCAATCGCTCGCGTCGGCCGGCCCCGCCCGGGAGACCCAAAACGAGCCCAGGTGGCTCCAAGAGGCCCCCGAAAGGGTCAAGAGTAACAGGGGATGCGCCGACCCCTATCCCAGGTTTCGTGAGGTTTTCGAGAGGATAAAATTTCGAGCGGCCAAACTTTTCCGGCAGAACTCGGGGATTGGGGGAGAACAATAGCCTGCGAAAGAGGGCCCCAAGTCGCCCCAAGATCGCGCCAAGACACCGAAGGTTTGGGCGCCCGAGCTATCCGGGGCAACTCGGGCCCGGGGTAACTCGGGTTCGGATTCCCGAGAAACGAACCCGAGTTAGCCCTGACCCGAATGATCCCTGATGATTCGGGGCTCTGAAAGGTGGCCTCGAGATGGCCCAAGAGGCCTCCAAGAGGCCTCCCAAGAGGGCCCCAAGAGGCAAAATGCTTGATTCCTCGGGTGTCTCGAAGGATTTGGGCGTTCTTGCCTGTTCGGCTCTCCGACGCTCCTAGACGGCCCAAGAAACGGCGCCCAAGAGGCTTCCGAGAGGGCCCCAAGACGGCCTGAGAGCGTGCGAAGACGCCCAAGAGGCGCCCAATTCGGCCCAAGAGGGCGACACTACGGCCCCAAAAGGAGCCCAAGAGACGGAGCACGGACCGAACATCCGAGCCTTCCGCTCCATGAGGCCCCAGGGAGGTCCCGAGAGGCCCCAAGAGACCCCCAAGAAGCCCCCAGGAGACCCCAAGAGGCCTCAAAGAGGCCCCGACGAGGGCCTAAGAGGCCCCAAAACAGCCCCCAAGAGGCCTCGAAACTGCCTCCAAGAGGCCCCCGAGAGGCCCCCACGAGATCCCAACGAACATCCAATCGGCCTTACACCCACAACCAAGGCACAGAGGCGGGATGGGCCGAACACCATTAGATCTGCCGCCCCCTGTGGTCTTGCCACAGAGGTGCCCGGCGTGCCGAATCCTATCGCTCTTGGTTTTGGCTCTCTTTCAGAAAAAACTCTCACTTGTGGCTTCGGCGCGTCCCGCTGGCCACCCGAAGGGACCGGAGGGCGCGGAATCTGCCAAGCAAGAGCTCCCAGAACGGCTCAAGATAGCTTTCAAGACCGCCAAGATGGCCCAAGATGGCCTCCAAGATGCCTCCAAGATGGCCAAGATGGCCTCCGACACTGCTAAAATGGCCTCAGGATGCCTCCAAGACGGCCCAAGATGCAGCCAAGACGGCCTAATACAGCCTGAAGATGGCCCAAGACGGCCCAAGAGGCCTCCAACACGGCCCAAGAGGCCTCCAAGATGGACCTCCAGGAAGGCCCGAAGAGACCAAGCTCATTGATGTTCCTGTGGTTTTGCGCAGGATTCTCGGATGTGCTTCTTCTCGGCTTTCCGACGGCCCGAGACGGCCCAAGAGCCCCCAAAGATCGCCCCATATCGCCCCAGAGGCCTCCAAGATGGCTCCAGAACGGCCCAAGAGGCCCCCAAGACCGGCCCAGGAGGGCCCCAAGACTGCCCAAGACTGCCCAAGAGGCCTCCAAGATGGCCTCCAAGACGGCCCTGGAGCACCCCAAGAGAGCCCCCGGTCCCCAGGGGCACCCTAGACAGCTTCCGACGGCGTCAGACGGGCCAGGAGCCCACCAGGACGGCCCCAAGATGGGTCCAAGATGGCCCAAGACGGCCCAAGAGGCCCCCAAGAGGTCTCCAAGACGGGCCAAGAGGCCTCCACGAGGGCCTCCAGCAAGGCCCAAAGAGACCGACATATTTGATGTTCCATCGGTTGTTGAACGATGTTGGCATGTGCTTCTTTGCGGCCTTCCGACGGCCCGAGACATCCCAAAAGCCCCACAAAGATCGCCCCATGATCGCCCCAGAGGCCTCCAAGATAGCCACAGAAAGGCCCACGAGGCCCACAAGACCGGCACAGCAGGGTCCCAAGACTGCCCAAGAGGCCTCCAAGACGCCAAAGATGGCCTCCAAGACGGCCCTGGAGCACCCCAAGAGGGCACCCAGTCGCCCCAGAAAGGCCTTCAAGACAGCTTCCGACAGCGTCAGACGGGGCAAGAGCCCACCAAGACGGCCCAAGATGCAGCCAAGACGGCCTAAGATAGCCTCAAGATAGCCCAAGACGGCCCAAGAGGCCTCCAAGATGGACCTCCAGGAAGGCCCGAAGAGACCAAACTCATTGATGTTCATATGGTCGTTTGTAAAGGATTATCGGATTTGCTTTTTTTCGGCTTTCCGACGGCCCGAGACGGCCCAAGAGCCCCCAAAGATCGCTCCATATCGCCACAGAGGCCTCAAAGATGGCTCCAGAACGGCCCAAGAGGCCAAAAGACCAGCCCAGGAAGGCCCCAAGACTGCCCAAGAGGCCAAGAGGCCTCCAAGACGCCAAAAATGGCCTCCAAGACGGCCCTGGAGCACCCCAAGAGGGCCCCCAGTCGCCCCAGAGAGGCCTTCAAGACAGCTTCCGACGGCGTCAGACGGGCCAGGGATGCCCTCCCTGAGACGGCCAGAGAGGCACCCGAGAAGCCCCCCAAAGGCCCCCAAGAGGCCAAAGGAGGCCCACAAGATGCCTCCACTAGGCCCCCAGGAAGCTCCAAGGAGGCCCCAAGAGTTCCCCCAGAGGCTTTCAAGGTGCCCCCTCCTCTGCCTCCGCCTCCTCCGCCTCCTCCTCCTCCTCCTCCTCCTCCTCCTCCTCTCATCATCATCATCATCATCATCATCATCATCATCATCATCATCATCATCATCATCATCATCATCATCATCCAATCATCATCATCATCATCATCATCATCATCATCATCATCATCATCATCATCATCATCATCGTCATTGTCATCGTCATCGTCATCGTCATCATCATCATCATCATCATCCTCATCATCATCATCATCATCATCATCATCATCATCATCATCATCATCATCATCAGCAGCAGCAGCATCATCATCATCATAATCATCATCATCATCATCATCATCATCATCATCATCATCATCATCATCATCATCATCATCATCATCATCATCATCATCCTTCCCCTCCTCCCCCTTCTCCCCCTCATGCTGTTCCTCCTCCTCCTCCTCCTCCTCCTCCTCCTCCTCCTCATGATCCTCCCCGCTACCCTCCCCGAAGGGTTTCCACAACGGTTGGGGGAGCACATGGTCCGATAGCTTGGCAGAGCTGTTGCCACAACGCACGGCCACAGGGGCGACTTCAAAAGGCATGGGGCGGCGGTGATTCGCCGTAGGCGTCTTCGATACGATCTCCCTGTCGCACCCCGAGACGTGTCGATAGGGCGGGCCCAGCGTGTCGCCTGTGACTTCATCAAAGCGCATGATCCGTCAATTTTATAATTTGAAGCAACTTCACGGATGGAGGACCGATGGTTTCTCAAAACGTGGCTGTCGCCTCAGCGCCGCGTACATTCTTTCTTACGAAGTGCAGGAGCTTCACGGATGGAGAGCGCACCTTTTTCAAAATGTGGCTCTCGCCTTCGCGCCGCGCAGATTCGCCTTTGGTAATCACAAGAGGCTCACGGATGTTGGGCGGCCCGTGTTCAAGGTGTGGCTCCCGCCTTGGCGCCGCGCACATTCGTCTTAGACGTCCGAGAGAGCGTCATGGATGGAGGGAGGGTCGCGGTGTGAATGTGGCTCTCGCCTCAGCGCTGCGCACGTGGGTCTGCAGGTTTGTAAGCGCTTCACAGAAGGAGGGAGGGCGGCACCAGAGCTGACAACAGTTCCGAAGATTCCCAGTACTGACGTCCCAGAACATGCGTGTTGGCAAGATGTAGGAGCGTCAGAGCGCAGCACTCGCGTTGGCTCGCGGTGCTGATGTCCCAAGGGCGGCTGCCTGACACGATTCAGGACCGTGAGCACGCAACAGTAACGTTGATTCGCGGCACTGAAGTCCCAGGAACGGTGTTCTGGCAAAGTTCCGGATTTTCAGACGGGTGTCCTCCCACAGGGCACTTCCGCCAGATAATTGAATCCTTGTAGGAACCTATGAAGAGTGAAGTTGGAGGGCATATTGTAACAAGGGTGATGGGTCGTGGGTTTGCACGTGTCCAACTCCTCCTACTCCTCCTCCTCCTCCTCCTCTTCCTCCTCCTCCACCTCTGACTCCTCATTGTCCTGCTCACCATCCCCCATCACACCATCCTATTGCCAGTGCACCCCATCTGTACCCTGCCTTTGACTGCCCTGGAGGAAGAGATCGGCGTCGTGTAGGGGCTCCTTGTGCAGCCAACCTCCACCACTTCCCCTTCCGACATGGTTTCCCGGCGGCAGCAGCCTGGCACCTACGCGTACCTCTCCTGCCCCCTCACGACCCCTGAAAAGACCTGCAGACCAGAAACGAACGGCAAGAAAGCAAAGCTGTGAATGGACGACAGGCGACAGGAGGGGCAAGCGATGAAGAGTGGGGAGAAAGGTGTGGATACGGAGGGGGAGCATGGCCACAAGAGCATGAGTCCAGAACAGGAGCCCCTTCGCCCAAGAGCATTGGTCCAGAACACGAGAACCGAGGTATACAGAATGAGGAGCGTTACAAGGTGGAGAGCACAAATACGAAGAACGTAGGGTACCCCTCAAAAGCTGGGATGGTGTTTAACCCTCGTGCCAGTTGTGAGAGGAGGGGGAAGGGACCGTTCAGGGCAAACAAAAGCAGTGTCCTGAAACGAAGGGACAGGACAATCAGCTGTGCGAAGCGGACGTGTTCATGCGGTGCGCACGGGTCCTCATCATCCTCCCCCTTTGCATCCCTCTTCTCCACTTGTTCCTCCTCTCCTCTGCTCCCCCTCCTCCTTCTCCTCCTCTTCATCCTCCTCCTCCTCCTCCGCCTGCGCATCCGCCTCTGCCTCCCAATTTCCCCCCTTCCTCTTCTACCCCCCCCCCCTTCTTTCCATTCCCTCCCCTATCCAACTCCCCCCCGAGCGGTCGACGACGACGACAACGACGACCACGACGACGGCGACGGCGACGACGACGACGACGAACCACGACGACGGACGAATCACGACGACGGCGACGTCGACGTCGACGGCGGCGCCCTCCCCCCCCCAAACCAGGCTCCTCGGAACCCCCCCTGCTGCTCGCAAGAAGAGTGGCCCTGGGCAAGGGTGACCTCTGGTGCGCGCCCTGCCGATCGTTGAGTGCGGTGCGACAGTAGCGGCCTGCATGCGGGCTCGAGTAGGGCTGGGGGGGTCAGGTCTGCAGAACACCCCAAAAGGGACGCCAAGGGGCTTCACCAACCTGCTCGGTCAAGCTGACAATTGACGCACCACGCCCAGCGTCAAGCGAAAACTTTGGACACGAGCGAATGGTTGGACGTTGCACATCGTAGCGGGCTCAACCAGCGAGTGGTTTGACCGCCCTGACGTCCTTTTCTGGTGGTCGTGCAGGGGAAGGCGCCCTCTGACCCTCGGCCCTGCGTCGGGTTCGTGTCGTGCCTACTTCGGCGGGGATCGTTCAAGCTTGAACGGTCGGCCGTTTCCGAAACGTCCAAATCGTTCCACATCGAACGATTCTGGGTCGCCCGCGGCGTTCAGATCGGCTAAACGTAAGAGTGACCCTGGGTAAGAGTGACCTTTGGTGCGCAGCTCTTGGGGGCGCGAGGGAGCCAAACCCAAGGGCGCGGGCTGCTTATAGCATCGCGCTCGGCTATCGGGGGGAGCCCGATGAGCCCGCACCAAAGGTCACTCTGGCGAAGGGTCACTCCTACGCGTGGTCGATCAGAGTTGAACGCCGCTGGCGGGGTCGCTGACGGTCGACACGACACGAGCCTGCCGCACTCGAGAGCGGGCCCCCGCGCCCCCCCCAAAAGGCCGCGGGCCCTGGGGGCCCACCACGCGGAGGGTCCGTCCGTGTCCGGGTCAGGAGCTCGGGCCTCTGGCGGTCGGCAAGGACCACCCTTCTGGACGCCCGAAGTGGGTACGGAAAGCATGTGTACAATGCCCAACAACAAATCTTGTCCCAAACCAACAGCGGCCGCTGTTGGGCAGGCGGCCTTCTGTCTCGAGTGGACGCAGGCCGCGGCGGCGTGGACAGCGAACCCTGTTCAGGCTGAACGGGAACTGCTGTTGGGCCTTGTACCCATTCTTTCCGTACCCATCTCGGGCGTCCAGAACCCTGGGCTCCCCAGAAGAACCGCTCTCGGCGAGGAGCTGCTGGAGGCGCGCCCCGACGCAGGAGAGGGGGCCTACGGGGCCCGGCGCGCGCGCAGGCCTCCGTGAAGGACGCACGCCCCGACGGCCGCCGGCCCGACTTGGGGCGGGCGGCCCGCGGCCCCAGGCGGCATCCTGGCGCCTGTTCCCCTGGGCCGGTGTCTTGCCCCAGATCCGCTTTGACGGCCCCGGGGCCTAACAACGGGCCCTGTTGTTGTTTTTTTGTTGAAAAAATAGAAAAGAAAACTATGTATACACATATTTAAATATAAATACAAAAAAACGCAGGTTAAACACTCTATCGTCGGAGGCCTGGGTACAAAACACAACGCCGACGTTGAAAGACGCATATCGGCAGCGCACCGGGAGGCCAAACTCCAGCGAGGGACCGTCCTGGCTCCCCTGGGCTAGGCGCAGCTGCTAGAGCGCATCCCGAATCCTGACTCCGCTCGGCTAGGCGCAGCTGCTAGAGCGCATCCCGAGGCTGGAGAACCTCCAGGTCCCGACGCAGGAGTCCGAAAACTTGGGGATCCCAAAACAATGTGGCGAGAGACCGTGCGGTGACCTCGAATCCCCACTGACTCACAAAACGGTGAGGTCGCCGCGCCGTTTGCGGAACCGCGAAAATCGGATAGGTCGGCATCGGCTGATTTCAGCCCGCCGTGGGCGCTCAGCCCTGAATGCTTGCGCTGGGGTCGCCGTCGCGTCGTCACAACACGAGCCTGGCGTACCCTCCTGGCCCCCCCTCTCACTACTCCACCTCCTCCTCCTCCTCATCCTCCTCCTCCTCCTCCTCCTCCTCCTCCTCCTCCCTCCTCCTCCTCCTCCTCCTCCTCCTCCTCCCCCTCTCCTCCTCCTCCTCCTCCTCCTCCTCCGCCTCACCCTCCCTCCTCCCCTCCTCCTCCTCCTCCTCCTCCCTCCTCCTCCTCCTCCTCCCCCTCCTCCTCCTCCTCCTCCTCCCCCTCCTCCTCCTCCCCCGCCTCCTCCTCCTTCTCTCCTCCCTCCTCCTCTCCTCCTCCTCCTCCTCCTCCTCCTTCCTCCTCCTCCTCCTCCTCCTCCTCTTTTCCTCCCCTCCCCCCCGTCCTCCCCTCCTCCTCTTTTCCCTCCTCCTCCTCCCCCTCCTCTCCTCCTCCTCCTCCTCCTCCTCCTCCTCCTCCTGTTGGCTCCTGTTGGCTCCATAGCAGTCTGTTACCGCTGGCCAAGCCTGCAATAAAGCTGCGAAAAACAGTGCTGGGTAAAGAAGTTGGATAATTAGATCCGAGAGGGGCCACGCCGCCTTGGACGCCCAGCACAACCCATCCCAGACCAGAGGGACCGACCTCCCCACAAACTTCTTTGTGCTGGGGTCGATCCCTCCCTTGAGCATCTTCAAAGAATCCTCTGCGTGCCGATTGCGCGGACCCCCGTGGCATTCCTGGAGGAGGTAGGGGCGGGCCCGAGCGCTTCCAAAAGCAGCGCAACGCACACACCAGGCGACCCTCCCCCCCATCAGCCACAGACGATGGCTCTTGTGGCAGGTCCGCGCAATCTTCGGTGGCCCTCCGCAGGGAAACACACAGACCGCGGCACGAGTCTTCCCTCGCTCGCCGCAGTGGAGACACAAATATGAACCTTTTGCTACACACTCGACCGCATGGCCTCTCGTGTCTGGGACCAGCTCCAGGAGAGACGGCTTGGCCCGACGGGGCCTGCGGATTTTGGAAACGTCAGGAAAACCACGGGCCGATAAATCATCCATGATTTCTGCAATCAGCCATGCCGACTGCCGAATCAGAGGCTCCAAACCTTTAAACTGCACGCGCGTCCAAGGGTTGTGGGGTTGGGCCTCGGCTCCACGACGGGCCAGTTCATCAGCCTTCTTATTACCCCGCCATTTCCAATCTTCTACTGCAAACCTACGGGCCTGGGCCAGGGAGAGGTGAGACCTAATCTTAGTCACAGTAATCCTATCGGGGCCGATCTCAGTCGCAAACCTGAAAATGTCCACCCAGAGCTCCGAGAAAGCAACCTTTTCCAGATCCTGAGTAGGTCCCAAAGTCCAGGTGTCCAGGACGGCCTTACAGTCTGTGACAATCTCCATGGCCTCTGGCCCCGCGAGCCTCAAAGCCATGACCAGCGCATACACTTCCCCGCAGCCGCTGGTCTGAACCGCGTGGGGCAGCGGTCCGAACGCAGACCCAGTAACATAACCTCCCCAAGAGTCCAGAGACATGGAGACGACCGCCCATCCAGCCCTCGTGAACTGAGGTAACTTGGGGTCCAATCCAGACCCATCCAGACATATTATCGGCCCCAGGTGTCCCCCAGGAGGAAACACATCCCACTTGTGACCAGCTACGGTGTGCGGCGCTGGCCACTGCCACTCTGGACTCGGGGCAAGCGCACGGGTGACCAGCAACTGATTAGCGGGCGTGCAATCCAAGGCGAGAAGGCCACCCACATCAAGATCACGCCGAACAGCGGCATGAGCTGGGCAGCAGCGGAAGCGATGACCGGGCGTGCCCAGCCGCTCTCTACAGAGCTGGCAGAGGGGGTCCACAACACGACGATCATCATACAGAGTAAGCTGGGTTGGGTAGCCTCCAGAAACGATCCCAACAAGTCCCGTGGCCGCCGTGAACCTTTCTTCTCCCCGAAGCTTCTGAAGGACCTCGATGACGGGTTCGAGCATAGGCCCTCCAGAAAGACCTGGGACTCTGACCCCATCTCCCAGACCTCTAAGCTGCATATCCCGAACAGACTGGTGAAGGACAACCTTGAGCGACCTGTATCCCAAGAAGCTCACATCCACTTCCACTCCCCGAACAGTCACAAACTTACACCAGCTTTTTACCTGACAACCCAGCCTTTCGATCGCGAGGACAACTGCGCCCGCGGGTCCACGGACATCTTGCCACCCACGAGCAGGTCGGTGATAAAATGAATTGAAACACTCCTCCATGACACGCTGCTCTGCCCAGCTCAAGCGAACGGCTTGTCCCCGAGCAAGGATGGGCAACGCATGCACATCATATGCTGGATCCGCCTTGGGCTCCACCGAGAGGAGAAACTCCAACGTCCTGCACCTCCCTTTTGGCGTCCCAAAA